AACAAAAGTATTTATACGTCATCCGACAATACAGACTTACACTTTTTATATTTAAATATTAATCTGGAGCACATTTGTTTTCAGTACTTCACTTTAGCAGTCTTGGTAATAATAGATTTTGCTTTGTTCATTACATTTGATTAGGCAATTTGCAATCTACCAACTCCTATAACTAAAGAGATTTGTTGTTTGTCTATAACTAGTTTTATCTTAAATGCTGACTCATTAAAGTTCTTATAATAAACTACTGTATCGCTTAAAGTAGGAAGTTTCTGGGTTCAGCTCAGGCATTTTGCTTTTCAAACCTCTCATTGTGTGTTCACAGATGTTTCTTCCTGCAATTCGAAGACATGCAAACTCACAAACTCTAACCTGCCTTTGAACATCAGTGTGAATGTTTGTCTTTGTGTTTTATCCCTGTGATGTCTAGGGGCATGGTCCAGCTTATTTCCTCTTCCTTCAGAATTTCTTTGATGGGGTCCAGCTGTGCAGCAACTGAATAGGATAAGTGGGAGTAGAATTAATGATTGAGAAATGACATTTGGGAACACACTGTGTATAGACATAGACATTTGCCTTCTTGGTGCTTTTCCAAAATCGTGGTACTTTTCCAAAATCAGGGAAATCAGGTGATATGAGCTTTCCTATTGGAACTAACACTGGCAGCCACAGTATCCCAGTTTCGGTTCTTATCTTATCTACACTGTAGCTTACTCATTTTAGGGGCAGCTGAACCCATGTAAGGCTTAATTTTGTCGATGAACTGGGAGACTTGTGTCCATTGTGTTCTAAAGTGGTGACTTCACTAATTGGCCCAACTTAGAATGGCGTCAACGTGAAAAGCAATGGCGTAAGTGATGACAGTTTTAGTCTGATAACCTGTCTCAGTTTGGATTTTTCCATTGCTACACTTCATTTTAGTGCATGGATTTCAGTGGGCTAGGATAATGTCATCTCTCAAGCTGGTAACTGCAAACTTATTGGTAAATAAATTCTGATTTCAGCAAAATCAAATTAAAAGGCCCCAAATAGAGCGTAGAACTGCCTTAAGGGGCCGTTTTGAGGCACTGGGGTTCAGTCTAATTTATTGGTAATTTAAAGGTGGGCTAACAATGGTGGGTTTGAATTTCATCACCTAGAAATGCAGCACTCATTTATGTATTCTTGCGCATTAAAATCATAGTTTGTGCTGTTTTTTCCCAGTTGGTGTGGCTTTGAAACTAAATTAGTATTTAAAGAATTAAAAATGGCCTTATTGTAAATAGCTATTATCATAAGTCTTGTTAAGGCTTTTACATTGAATCCACTGCCTGCTGTCACCTATGCTTGCAGTCAGATATCATTTATTACACTATCATTAAGAGACTCTGAACAGTTCCATAAAAATGGTCTGTGTTTGACTCGAATGTACTTATACATTCGAGTAGAAACTGATAATTGGTAGAAGTGGAGCATAAACTTTGTTAAATTTACAGTAATTTACTGTAACAGAACAAACAAGAAGGGATCGACTTTAAGTTGTCTTAAAAAAATGATAATAGCCCACATTTAAAACTTAACTTTATAACTTCTTTTTTAGACCATGAGTACATAAGCATAAGCATTAGTTTTGCATACAAACCTGATGTTCTGTGACGGATGACACATGTGGAGAATATTGTGGTCCAGGGAGCAAAGCAATAAAGTGTCTCTAAACAGCAAAAGGTACTTCAGGCATTAGTCTGGTAATGCTTTAATAGTGTTTGCAGTGAATGGAATTCATTTAGGGGACCACTCACATTACACAACCTGCTGGGGTTCTACTTTGTCTGCTACTGTAAGGCAAACCTGTTTTGCTGTGTATTCATTTTGCATTCAGAACCAACAGAGTGAAACTTAATCTTAAAATCAGCTGGATACTACACTAGCCAAAAATGAAACAGTAGAAATTAATCCAATGAGTTTCACACACACAGGCAGAGTCGCAAGCATTCCCTCGTGAAAAGCACCAACATGTGTTGACATGTAGGTTCAGATACAGGAGCACATTTTATGAACCATGTACACCCTCTTCTAAATAATTTAAAAGGAAAGCACAAGGACAATGATGACGTACTCAACAACTGTCTGAATAGAGCTCAAAGGATGCAGGTGTGATTATTTGAGCCAAAGGAATTCTGTAGTATGTGGCTTTTACATGCCTCATTTCTTTTCCTGAGCTTTGTACCTTGAAAGAATTTGAGACTGAGAGAAGATTCTGGAACTGGCACATGTTCAAACACATACAGTGGAGTCAAGTATCCATATGGTTCTTTTCATAGAAGATGTCAGATTTTGAGAACTTCATTTTAATCTCTGACGGTAGAGAAAGTCACCTTTTTTCCCCCTTGCAGAATAACCCGAGTAGAGGTTCACACAAAACGTGCTAAGACAAACTAGATCAATCATTTCCTCAGAGACCTTGGGACCTTTCCTTTATTGTCACCAGAAGGTGTACGTTTCCATTTACCCGGGGGGCTTTTTTAACAGCTATCAGATGGATAAAAAAAAAAAAAGATTTGTCCTGAAGCTGTACAAGAGAACAAGCTGGAAGATCACATGGAAAGAATAACCTTACTCACTAGAATAAGTTTAAGTCTAGTAAAACCAAGATTTAAGGAGTTCCTTCAAGTGCTGTTTTTTCAAATAGTTTTACAGTAAAGTTGCACATTTGCCTTTCTGTGAAACCTTTTAGGACTGGACTATCCCCTAAGCTATAGAAAATCATTAAAGGGTTACATGTTTAAAACAACAATGCATCATCCCCACAAAGCAAGTACCTTGACTGTAATGTCTCACTTAAATCCTCCATTATATGTCTGTATTCATCCTATTACAGTAACCTGCTACTTTGTAACGTGTTAAACCAACACTGTCCTTTTGTACAGATTTAACAAGAGGTATGCTAAATTGTAATTGTCTTTACCCTGTGACCAAGAACATACTGTACAGACTTAAAACAGGCTGCCTCTTTGCAGTGGGGCCACGCTCACCATGTTATTAAGACTAATCATCTTGTCTGTTCCTTGCTGTTGGCTGCCCTGTGAACTTTCTTAAGTTGTGGCTAAAATGTGACCCTGTGCTGAGAGTTAAGTTGTTTGACTTTTCTCATGAAAGTGGCTTTCTAAACAGCTGACCCAACCGTTCATGCTGAGGCTATAAATGAAGATGGATGTATAAAAGCAGCTGCGTTCATTAAAGGCTTCGAATATATGAAGTGACTGTAGACTCTTATGACAGTGTCGCCATTCAGGTATGCTGCATATATTCATCAGTGTATCAGATCATGTGATTTTAGAGTTATAAAGTATTACTCAACCAAGAGACATGACAGGGTACACTTTGCTCCACAACTAATCGGAGCTTACCGTCTTTTACAGCTGTCATGTTGCTATTATGACATCCAAACATCTGATGTCTTAGAAGTCCTACTAGTTTAAAAGAATTAAGGCCAAAGTTGATTTTAATTCATGTAAAAAAAAAAAAGACAAACATGTATGTTATTTCTTTATGAATAATAAAACATATTTATTGTTCTTCTTCTTTGCAAACAGCATATTCATTACATAAGACAAAGTAATAAGTTACGAGCACTATTAGCATCACTGTGTGATTAACACGTGTTTAGAGATATGCATGACAACACATTGCAGTGACCCCCAAAGAGCCACTGCACTAAAAATGTTTAGCACAATTAATTTACAGACAGCAGCGTACACATATATGTAATGTAGACATAATTTTTGTCTTGCTTTTTGACATCATCCACTACACATAAGACATATAACATATAAGTACCTGAGTTTCATAAAAGTAATTTTAAAAATATGTGTAGATGTTGATATTCCTGGTACCCTATGTAGTTTATTTTTAATTAAACTAGGAGCAGTTAAGCTACAGAAATACATATGCCATGGTCATTGTAGTAAGATGGTAATTACTATACGCTACACAGTATTAGGTAGTTTATTATTATTATTATTATTATTGTTGTTGTTGTTGTTGTTGTTGTTGTTGTTGTTGTCAGAACATGGACAAAAACAATAATCTCACAAATGAAAGGATACCTTATACGAGAGGTTTTGCTACCAGCTAATTCCCATCTGCTCAGACCCTTTGTCAGGCATACACAGCACACACAGTTGTCATTGATGAGGATCCCTAACTCCAACCATAACCAAAACTCTAATCATAGACAATCAGAACATATGGCGTTTTGTTTATGTTATTTTCCCAAGTCAGAAAACAAAGAATGAAATAACTAGACTCATCCCATCAATATATAAACAATATAATAAATCTGGGTGATAAAAGGTAGGAAAAAATGTAGACCTCGTTAATGCTGACGTCAGTTATTTATTTTAATCCATTCTTTTGCATGATATGAAAAGAAATGGGCTTAAATGAAAAGGGTGGCTGGCCTTGACGCTATTTCCGTTTTGCAGATTGGTTTAATGGTGCATGTGCATCAGTGTTAACTGTTTTAAAAACAAACATCTGAGTACTAGTTTAGGTCCTGGAAAGGTAACATTTTGGTGTTGTCTAAGATATCACAGTGGTGATAGCATTGTGGTTTCCAGTCCAAAACCACATGAGCTTATGAAGTAAGTTCTTTGTTTTAACTTGAGACCAGCAGGCGACACATATGTTGACAGAAGGAAGCATCACATGTATGAAAACACATGCTTGACACAGAGTGAGTTTCTAATAATTCTGAAAATAGCTACATGTATACAGCATCTCAGTGTGTTACTCATCTTCTTGATGTGCTCTCTAAGGTATTTAACTTCCTCCGTTAAAATTTAAATGTTAACTGATCATGTAAAAGAGTCACACTGGGAGCAGGGAAACATACGCACATGCACAAAAATGTTGCACATGCAAACTGCATCTGAAGAATTTCAGCAGAGCACTGTGAAAGGGCGTTGTAAAGAAATTAACTGTACAGTTAATCTCGTGCTGTATGACTCTTGTTTCCATAGGCCTGTTTTTGATAGCTCCCGTTCTGATGGCCCCAACGCACTCCAGTATGTGCACACCACTGAGGACGATCAACGACAGCCTCAGCCACAGACGACGGTACATGGTGAGACACTGATGACATGACTGCAGGCATGTGGTGTGGGGTCAGTGGTGCAGGGTTTAGAGGAAAATGGAATTATTCCGACTTCTTCCTAATTTGGGACAAGCTCCAAAAACGTGTTCTTACAGTTCCCATAATGAAACTTGATATCACTGGCATCTTAATACATGTGGGCTCAGAACTTGTATGTGCATGACAAAAATGCTGCAACGTAAATTAGCAAGGTTTTTTAAACAAAACATAGGTAAACAGATTATTTATCGAGTGACTGACCCACATGGGGACGTAATCATAATTAGAGCATTTATATCTTCCCTGTGTGGGCAAAAACATCGAAAATCGAAATTTCTTTCCATGTGTCAGGTCAAATAGTAAATTTCTACAAAACATAAAAGAAGTAAGTTGGGTTGCAAAATCTATGTGGTAATTTTTGTTTTGCTTTTTCTTTCCTTTACAGAAACACAACTTCCCCATCGAGTACACCATCAAGGTTCATAATAGGGAAATCTTTAGACTGTCAAATATCAGCCGAATGGTAAAGTCATAAGACAACCTCTGTTTTCTATATAAATATTTTGAGAAGGTCTTGCTAATAAAGTCTGCGTGTGAATGGTGATGTGATGAGTTTGTCTTTTTCCTCTTTTTCCTTCTTCAGAAGTTAAGAACAGAGGGGTTGAATGACCTGGTTCTCCAGAGGCTGTGGTTTCAAGTGTATCAAGGTGTTTTAAAAAAGGTAAGAACAGAGCTGTTACTAGTGGAACCTGTTTGTGTTGCTGGTTGCTCTGAAATGTGGATGTGTCGTATATCATTTGTTTGTCTAAGAAGAGCTGATGAGAGACTGCTGGGGCCATCGGCCCATTAAGCTAATTAGACATTTAATTGGATGTAGACAAATGCATGACGCACCAGTTAGTCTCAATTTACAGTAATGCTGCAGGGATAGAAAACCTTTTGCTTTGGAATTATTTATACCCTTGTTTCTTTTGTAAAATGTATTCATACCCATAATCTTTTCGGTAACTTGTTCTTGTACATGTCAGAGGAGGGGCGAGAGGGGCCTTAAGATAATTTCTGCTCAGCCATAAGTTAACTTTATGGCTGAGCAGGCGGGCTGATGGAAAAATAAACACAAAAGGAAAACAGATTTTTCTACCCTAAGGTAACTCATAGCACCAAATCATAGCAGTCATGTGGTGACTAGAGACCAAAGAATTCCAATGCAATTTTGATTTGTGGCTTTGGCAAGCAAAATAAGAATTGGCTGCTGAAAATGGGTGGGTACCAGGTTGAGCTGATTCTAACTTTGATGGAAAGCGGTTAAAGAAACTACCAATGCGAGCAAAGGTTCACATGACTGACATGTGAAGGGGATGCAGAGCCTGGAAAACCTGGTGCCATCCTGTTTAGCTACACAGCAGTGTGGCTTGAGATGTGGACACAGCTTAAAGTCCAGTTTACATGTGAATGTTTGCTTGGTGTTTAAAACATACTGTCAGGACAAGCCAAAGGAGGCAACTTCAAGCACTTAGTGGTGAACAGAAAATATCAGTAAAAAATCTCCACACTAAGTATAAAAGGCTTCATGTCATGCCAAAGAAATGTCAACGAAATAAATAAAATCTGTAAATTTCACGCCATTTTATTCATATTTCAGGACCACAGACAGCTCATAGTCTTCTTTTTCAGCATGCTGTTCGGTGAACTGGCACATCAATTGCCGCTTACGCTGAACACAGAAAAACAAGTTACTACACACAGACTGGGCTGTAGAACTTTTTAATTAAGCAAATTCAGCAACCACTAGATGTACAATGCAAACAGGCATCAATTTTGTTTTTGTGGGGCATGTTCAGTATGCACATGTGGTCCGGGACAGATTTTTGGCTGATCCTCGATTAGATGGGCAGATGATGAAGTTTACATCATGCCGACCCATGGGGACACATGGAAGCACAAATGAGCTTTAACTTTTCAAGCTAGCTCAGACAGTCCATCTGAGACCTTGACTTCTTATCACATTCACATGACAAACTCCTTGCACAACATCAGTCCAACACACCCTGTCATTTAAGCCAGAATTTTTGGTTCAGTCACTTGCTGCATGCCTGTACATGCCGCTCAGGTTACCACCCTTGCAACCACCCTTAACATACCCCTTCAGGCTGCTTTGTTACCCACATGACATTCATACAATTAGGAAATGTTTGGGAAAATTTGGAAAGATTTTGTGCTTGAGTAACATGAACTAAACCTGCGGGAAAACGCTGTCCACCTCTTGCCTATTGTGCTATAAAACTGAAAGTTCAATACCACCTGTTCCTGTTGAGTGCCTCGATGCTTTTACGTTTGGAGGGGGACCAGTTTCTACAAGCACTGTCAGAGTGGTAGTGGCTTTGACTGGTGGATCTGTTTTTGTTTTAGTTAGCACTTTCAATTTTATTTTATTTTATATGTAAATGTATGTGTACTAGTGATTAGTCCTACCTCACCAGCCTTGCTACCTCAGTACTACTGTGTGTTTAAAGGTTTGCCCAGAGCCTTGGAGATTCTAATCTATGAATATAGCACGTCTTTGGACTGCTAGTTCATTTTGTGAATTTCTTATAAATAACACTGATAGTGTTCCAGTAATAATAGTTCATAATAAATGGTTACATTTTCCCTTAACACTGTGTAGCATTTGATTATTTTATATTAAACACTTTATGCACTTTGAAAGAATCTTTTGGGAAATACTTAACATTTTTGATTTTGCTAACATTTCCCTGCTGAACAAATCAACACCTTTAATGCTGTATAAACTAAAGTCAAGTTGAATTTTTAGATCCTCTGGGTTTTGCCAACGAGACATCCTTCACGTCCTTACACAGCTGAGTTGGAAAGACGCTTCAAGGATGCTCAGGCAGTCTTTATGCAGTCACATCCTGCTGAGGTAAGTTTCTGTACAGCATGCGCACCAGAGCTGCAGTTGATGTTAGGTATTAATGTTGCTTTGATTGTATTTGTTAATATTTAGAACCTGGGTCTTTTCTATGTTGTAGTGTTTAGTAGTTTAGTTTAGTCAAAAGTAAACATTCCAGACCTGTTTATTCAGTTTAGACAGCTTACTAAACATCTGACAATTTAGATTAATTTCTATAGCTGTCCTGCTTGTAAGTTTAGTTTAGTTAACATCCCCATTAGCCGCAGCAGAGCAGCAGATATTCTTCCTATTTCCGAGTTTCAGCAGACAGTAGGTGAAGAAATCTGACCAAGTCTGTGAACATAGTTACATCCTGTTCTTCTTTTTGTCCAGCATTTTCTCTTGTCCTCTTGACTGAGTAAAATGGAACATTTGGTACAGAAAGGCGACCTGTCATATTTTCCAGTATCATATTTTTGGACCTTACATAACCCCCAAACCAACCACATTTCATTATATTTGGTAGGAAAATGGAAAATAGGTGCACCAACGTATTGAAACATGAGTAAATATACATCAAAATACAGTATATAAGACAAAAACTGGGTTTATATAATTCTAATGAGCTCCAAAGAATTGTTTGGTATGACCACCTTTATTTAAAGCTTATTCATTCAAAGCCTTCTTTGGATTTTGGCTGCCTGTTGTTCTGTTTTCTGGCTTCAATAACATTAAATCCTGGGAGACCAATCCATGGCTAAAAGAGTTTCAGAGTGTGTTTTTCTGTCCAGGTATGCTCTGGCAGTGTGTTGGGGATTATTTTTTGATGCTGAAAAATCAAACCTCTACCAATCAGATGATTTCAAGATGATATTCCATCAAAAAGTCAAAAAATCAAAATTAAAATTGGATCAAAATCTCAAAACCAATTTTAACAAGATCTCCATCACCACTGGCTGAAATCCAACCATGGCAGAGCATCCAATGCACTTTACAGATGACCGTAGACACTCACTGTTGTACCTCTCTGCTGATCTCCTCTGTATGCATTGGTGACGATTTGAACCAATAATGTCACATTTGGATTCATTACTCCAAAAGATTTGGGCTGATTCCAGTCCTTGTGCAATTTGGCATACCTCAGCCTTTCATCGCTGTTTCCCTTCCTTAAAGTGGTTATGTTAGCTATCTAGTGACAGAAACCAAGGAAACTAAACCTAAACAACAGTCTAAAGGGGTCACTTTGCACTTCCTTGGTTGTAACAATGAGTTTTATATTAAAAAAAATATAAGGAAGAAAATAATAACAAGGATATATTTTCACTCTCTATCTTTAAAGCAGTCAGTGGTTCTTCATTGTTTGCCTGCTCCAGTAAAATGGGAAAATCCACCTGTTAGGTTGTAGAGAACTGTGTGGAGGAGAGCCTGTTTGAGTCGGGTGCACTGGTGGTTCACTCGACCAACAAGTTGAAGTCTGACATTACCCTCTCTGTGTTTTATTTTTTTCCTTCTCATGTTCGGTGTACGGACAAAGTGGTGAAATCAGCCTGCATGCCGACAAGATGCGATCAGCGCTGTTTTATGTGATCTTAAGCTGTTATTTAACCTCCAGTTTTATCAGGATTAAGTCTTTCTTTTCACAAATTCCCAACTAGCTTAAAACATCACAGTATACTCTATTACAAATATTTTCTGAAGCATGATCAGAAATCTTAACATCTCTCTGGAGGTCAGAAAGGAAGAAAATCTCCACGTTACAGTTGGGCTTTTCCCCCCTCACTTCTATTAGAGGTAGTAAAAAGTATCGACTAAGGTGAAATAATGTGTTTAGTCATAACAATTTCCACACCAGTATGCCAAAAGAATTATTATAACAAAAAAATAAGGTTTCCAAAAGCTATGTCATGTCTTCCTAGGGGGCTAATGAGTTGTTGGTCTGTCACACACATCAGCCAATCAAATGAATCCCATCCAATCCAACTTTATTTATATAGCACTTTAAAAACAACAAAGTTGACCAAAGTGCTTTCCAATAATAAAACAGAGATAGCAGTCAAAAAGCATATATTAAGCAGACAGAGAAATAAATATAAATAACAATAAAATAAATACAAGATAAATACAAAATAAAAAGAAGATAAAAATAAATCACTATACATATTAAATATTAAAACATGAGTAAAATAGACAATAAGATTTACAATGAATAAAATTGACAAAATAAAAAGATTAAGAGTGACCAACAGCTGACTAAAACTGACTACAAGCTGACTCTGGCACTACTCCTAAAAGCCTTTGAAAAAAAGTGTATTTTTGAAAGTGATTTAAACATTTCAAGTGTTGGGGCCAGCCTAACATGGAGGGGCAGTTTATTCCATAATTTGGGGGCCACAACAGCGAAAGCTTGGTCCCCCCGGTGTTTCAGTCTTGACATGGGGACAACAAGGAGTGACTGGTCAGTTGATCTGAGAGACCTTTGTGGAGTGTATCTGTGTAGAAGGTCTGACAGGTAAGAAGGCGCCAGGTCATTTAAAACTGTAAAAGCAAAATGGACAGACAACCAATGTAAGGAGGCAAGAACAGGGGCTCACATTTGTGTGTCCCTGTCAACAGGCGAGCAGCAGCATTCTGGACCATTTGCAAGTGTGATAGTGAAGCCTGATCAATACCAATATAAAGTCCATTACAATAATCAAGGCGAGTGGTCACAAATGCATGTAAAACTCTCTCCAAGTCACAAAAAGAAATAAAAGGTTTTACTTTAGAGAGCTGCCTCAGCTGAAAAAAGCTATTTCTCACCACTGTATTTACCTGAAAATGAGAGAAAGGTGGCATTAAAAAAACATAAAATATCTCACAGACATGCTGATAGATGTTAGGATTCCTCATCATGCTGCAGTAAGAAAGTTAACTATGTTTGTGACGTAACCTGCAACATACATGTTATAAACTGGTAAACCCCAATATAACTGGGGGTTGAATTACGCCTTTATATGACATAAAATAGAGCTGATGGCACGTTGTCAGGATGCATCTCGTCTGCTCTTCTCTGACCCGTTTGGTCTGTCCACCTGTCCTTTCAGTTTGTCTGCTGTAGACAGCTCTTTAGGCATGTCACTTCTTCTTTTGTCCACCGCTTGTCAAGTCTACTTCATATCCCAGGCCTTTCAGTTAATAGATCTTTGGGAATCATCTTGTCGGTGCTGTTTTATGCCAGTCAGAGTGTGCTAGCTTTGGGTCTGGACTGAAAATGACTGAACAAGCAGACTTTGAAAGTCTAGTCCTGATCGTTGCTGGATAATGGCTTTGCCATTATAGCTGACCACTATAATGATTGAATGAACTTTCTCCTGTAAGGGTTAGGGTTAGGGCTGAAAGTCACTTTTACTACTGTGGGTATATTTCCCTTTAATCCTTTCACAATTACTAGTTAACCCAATAGTTTATATTTTCCATTAATTACCTTCCTGTTATATCCAAGCATTGTAAAATTTGAAGATCCAATTTTAACATTTACCAATCCAAAAGCTTTAAAATTGAAAAACTGCTAAATAAGTGAAGTTGGTGTTAAACAGAATACAAAAAGTTAAAATTCAGGATACTCAATAAATACATAACTGGCAGACCAAGTGAATCTATTTTCCACAAGTCGGTGTAAAAGGACAGGTCCCGAGTTTCCTTTTAAAGGAATCCACACAGTTGGTTAATTTTAGGTTTGCGCTCAGAGCAAAGCATAGGTTAGATACCAGAGCCTCAAAACTCTAATCACCCTGAGCCCTTGGGTGGCTGCAAGGCTGGTCTGTACAGGTATGAAGTGTGTGAAATGAAACTTTTGGAGACTAAAGGTCAACCTGGACAGCTGGCTGTAATATGAATTAAAAGCATCTGCTGGCTTTCTCTGAATGGAAATGCAGGGATAATGTGGAAAAGATGCGATTTATGGTGATCAGTCTTACTTTTTTTGGTTTATCAAGTAAGCTTTTCTACTATTTTATCAGGTCACATAAGTGTATACAGACCTTATAGCTGCCAGTGTCACATTCTAAGATAGAAGAGATGTTATACCTTATTGATCCCTATTTTTGATTTAGGCTAACTGACTCACTATGTGTTTGTGTTTTTTGTGTGTTTAGGTCTTCCAAGAGGACCTTCCAGAGAAAATCCAGGACATTTGGGATAGTTTAACAGAAAAGCCTGAAAACATGCCAGAGTCTAGTTGGCGATTTGCTACTCCAAAGTCTCTCTTGGACAACTTGTGCCGCACCATGTACTGCCTCTTCAGTGAATGCTTTTCCAACGCAGACGTTCAGGAAGACTGTAAGTATAAGAGAGGAAATGACACTGTAGGCTGTAATTTGTTTAAGAACCATCCCATGTCAGCTTTTAAATGGGTTCATTTCGTTAAGATGATGTCGGGTATAAACTCCCCAAACAGCTCATTACATAATGTCAGTCTTGATGTTAAAGAGGCATCAGCATTTGTTTTTCAGATTTTGGATTAGCTAAGATTCTGCAGATGTTTCCTGTCAGACAGGACTAAATATTTTATGAAACTCAGGGATGATAGAGTGGAAGTACATTTTTCAGTAACGTAGACTTTCCAGCAAGGAAGCAAGTGTCAAATTAGATGCCTTATAAGAAGGCTGTGGTTGGGAATCATGACAGTATACACACATTATTCTTTGGGTTCTAGCACTGCTGTGTTATGTAAGTGTCCTGCCTGGAACACCTAGCCAAACTTTTGATGCTCTGAGTTGTCCTGCAGCCTTTGCCAAACCATCTGGATGAACTGTGTCTCAAGATTTTGATAAAGTGAAATGATTGAGCACACACATGCACAGAAAAACACCGTTTGCATTTAACTTTTGTTTAAGACTCGCATCAGCAACAACGTTAAAACCACCTGACAAAACAGCACGAGAGGCAGAGTTTTTCACTGGATGACACAACTCCAAAGGGGATTTGTTTCAAAAAGGTCTCGGATCTGTTCTGGCATGATCTTTCACTTGCCTGAAAGAGAAGTTATATTGTTATACTGATTATGTGGCAATAAAACATGATGAGGAAAGCTAATGTGTAAACGCCTAAATGAGTTTCTCTTCTCATTTGTTTTTCAGACTGTGAAGTTTCTCATTGGCGGAAAGGCAGGAAGAAAGACATGCAGCCCGAAAGCTGAGAAGAAGCAAGCGGAGTCAAGTTGTCCCTAGTGATTAGGGATTAGTATTATTATTTCCCTTGAGCTATAGGGAGATGGGTAAAAGGACAATACACACTGAAATGAGAGTTCAGACCTGATTTGTGAACATCAATAAGTCTTTTCCAAATCTGCTATACAGAGCTAAGATTATCCAGAGTTTGTCCTCATAATTTCAACTCTGTGTGTCAAAACAGATGGAAATTAAAGACATAATATCTCTCAAACCTTTGTGAACCTAAAGGCTTTCTGTTAAATGACATCAAATGAATTTTTGAGTAAAAATACCAGCTCATTGTCTCTTGGCATCCTCTCAGATTAAGATTATAGCATTTTTGGATCAGATTTGCTCATGTTCACAAATAGCGACTGAACTGATGTGTGGTCAATATTTTATCTAAGGTGGATTCTTTATAAACAAAGGGTTAATGCTCACCTGCAGCTTTGCCAAACCACTGCTCAAAAAGTTGTGATGCGCTCCTGCGGGCCTGTGTGGTTCACGTCAGAGGCCAAGGACAGATTGGGAAACTTCAGCTGACTTTGTACATTTGCTAGAATTCTCCTCTTTTGAACATCAGTGTGCTAAAGCAGGAGCAGTGTATATGAACTCCAAGCGTAAATGCAAACTGATAACTACTGGTCTTATTCTACAGTTGTTGACTGTACATTTTTATACAGCTGCCCAGACTGCTTAGCCAAGGATGTTGAAAAATGTGTGCTCATTTTGGCTCCATTTTATGTATTTTTTTCCTATATGTTTATTATGCAAAGAATGAGATTGGAAAATGCATTCATCTCCCTCCATCCAACCTATGCATTTTATACTTGCTGTAGATCTCTTATGATTTTTTTTCATGAGGCAACTATTAAATAATTTGAGGACTTACTAGCTAAACAAAGCTCAAATGATTGTTAGCATTTTAAATATGAAGTTAAATCACAGTCAGATGTTATTTGCCCCATAGTTAAGTTATATTCTATAAAAATAATAATAATAATAATAATAATAATAATAATAATTGACACTTCTGTCTGTTGTCCATTATCTTGAGTTACCCCTCACAGAATTTTAACTATGAACATGTTGGAAATGCACACAAAGACAGTTGCAAAACCGAAATGTAAAATTCAGCTCAGTGTAGTTGCAACATTAGAAATCTTGAGGGATTGTTCTCAGCATTCAAATCCTTTTCAACACATCCATACTGAGATTTAATATCAGGTTCCTCTGCCATTTTCTTTCTGTCAGAGTTAAGAGTTACCCCTTAAACGATTCAAATCGAGGCAAGGTTATGAGAAGGTAAGGCAAAGAGAAACATACAGTTTACTACAGAAGTTGGACTTTTGGCTGACAAGCACTGTAAATATGTGGAAAAAGAGGAAAATGTAGGCAAGTCAACAAGATTTTCATGCAATATCACTTAGAGTTTAAACCTTTACGCACGGGAACAAGCTTCAAGATGCATTTCAAAGTTCACAAAAAGTGTTATGGTGCTTCTTCAGTGGAGTTTTGGACTTAGAGATTCTATTCTACATGTGCAACTATATAAATACTGACTGAAAAAATGTTTTTATGATAGGCGTAGTGCACATAAAAAAACAGACCCATCCATAGTTCTGTGGTTACCTCAGCAGCTAGTGTTTCTGTTTGGAGTGCCAGTGAAGATTCACTTAAAAAAGGCCCTCTACACAGATTTATCAAACACAGTAGTCGACAAACGTAGTGAAGTAAAAAGTAGTGCAGTTTCAGCTTTCTTCGGGGTGTGTTAATAGCCAGAAATCTAGCTTCTTACATGCTGAAATGTTCACACCCTAACCTCTTCTTTGGTAATAATTAACTCTGATTCTCAAAATTGCTAACTAACCAGGGGCTTGGATGTGATCATGTACACTTCAATACAGTAAATGCTTAACATCTTTACTGAGCAGCTGCTGTGTCAAGGCGACATCACCAACTGTAATGGGTTGCATAGTTTTTCCCCCACACTGGAGCACATCTCTGTGGAATTTTTCTTATCTCTTATTATCAGCCAAACTGCAGTTTGGTGGGGAAAAAAAACAGCTGGATGAGGTAAAATGAACAGAAAAGTAAGCAAAACAGCAAGCCATTAAAACGAAGCAGCTTATGCTAATATTTTCAGCTCGCAACCATCAATTAATTTCAGCTGCCATAGCCATATTTCTAAACTCGGCCATTCAACACATTTAACTACTTAAGGCAAGGGTGAGCAGAAGTTAAAGGGAGTTACCTAAAGGTCATTTGTTCTTATCAGGATTGAAAGCGTCCTTCATATTTTCTTGTTGTTTGAGTAAAACTCTATTATACATGCTTCATTTGATTATTGATGATGGTGACGTGAATTTGAGGCTAGGTGTTCGAAAGAAATCTTGAGACATACAGAAACATAAACATAACAGTAGAAAAAGAAAACAGGCATTCTGGTAGTAGTTTCAATGATTTGTGAGGCATATTTGGCTTATTTAGGAAACTTAAACTTTATGAATACAAATAGACTTCGTTTAAAGAGATTTTATCTAATTAACTAACTCACTATGTTAACAGGTTCTCCACTGAAGTATAGAAGGCAAACCTTAAACCTGCTTTGAGACAATGCTGAGAAAAACATTACCATTTGAACTGATATAGTTCTTTAATGCACAAGTTTCAAGCAGTTAAAAAGAGCAGCGTTTCATAACGTTACAGCATGAAGGGTGAGGTCGGCCTTTGAAACTGTTTGGCACGGTCACTTACTGAAGACAATCTGCTCACCCCATCATGTGCCACTGTTTTCCTTAGACTGTTGTTTTTCCTCATTATACTTTCCATGCACAGCGTTCATTGCTTTCAAATCCCAACATACTGGTTCAGTCAGTTTATGGTGCAACATTCCCATATCCCCTTATTTGCGTTAGGGCTGAATGTATTTATTATCATTAGCAATGCTAACAGTTTCAAAAACACACTTGAAATGCCTGTGCAAACATTGCAAAAAAAAAGAACTGGTTTATCGTACCAGCTAGAAGCAGTCATTATCCTTCCCTTTAAGATTGTTATGTTAAAGGATACTGTTTGTTGAAATGAAACATGAAAGAATTTAACTTAAACTAAAATAAATTATATATATACACACATATATATATGACTTAATAATGAAATATAACATTGAAATATAAATGTAAGTTATCCAAAACTGCATTACATGTATTTGCATTTTTTGCACATTAGAAAAATTGTTTCATTTATAAGACTTCCGTATTTGTTTCTCGTATGGAAAAATGCTTTCTAATTTGTTCATGAATTCACTCCAAACATGAAATATACACGTAAGCCTCGCAAGCCTGATCTTGTCACTCTTTTGGAGGGAGAACGATGATTTTCATGTATTATATTTAGCATCAGATTTTTAAGGGGCAAAACTTGGGTTGGTTCTCATGTGCAAAAGATGCTCTGGAATGATGTAGACAAGGAACAGCAGAAATTGGTGTATTTCTATCACACTTTCTCAATCACATGTAAATGTATGGCTGTTTTTTGTAACCACAAGAGCGAGATGTATTCGAAAATCCCTTTTTGTGAAAAGTAAGTAATATTTCCTGCCTGGCAAACACATGGATGGCTTATTGTCAGAAAATAGATCTTAGGAACAGATTTGTTGTTGTTTTTTATACTCGAGATATTGAATATTTATTTTCTTTTTTTAAAAACTGTACTTTGCTATAAGAATACTTTTATTAAAGAAATAAATAATAAATTGCTATTTTTTATCAACTAACCCTGTACTCAGTCCTGTGTTTTTGGAAAGAGTGTCCAAATATGATTGTGCACTATTATTTTACTATTTTTAAGAATCTTGAATAATAAAATGCAAGTTGGGGATTTTTTTTAAAAAGTTTAATTGATTATTAGTAGAGCTACTGTGCAGATTGATGTTTTAAAATCAGTTTATTATTAACTAATCCAGAAATAATATTTATTAGTTTCAGGTTGGCCATTCTTGTATTTTGCTCGTTTGTGTTGTTGTGTTTGCACATCTCTGTTGCTTGTGGGGCTCGCACACAAGAATTTCACTCGCATGTGCTGTGCCAGTGTGCCTGCACATGTGATGTGACAATAAAAGTGATTTGATTTGATTTGATTTGAACTAATCAGCGTTACTTAATCAGCATTGCATAAACATATCAGAAATATAATTCATCTGGCTGTGAGGAGTATTTTTTTAACTATACTATGCAATGAATATAATAGTAGGTAGTGTGCAGCTTGCCATGTGACATGTGTCCGGGGGGGGGTGTCCTATTCCTCTGCGGGGCAACCTGCATATGGCCAATAAAGCATTCAATTCAATTCAATTCAATTCAATTCAATTCAACTATTCAAAATTCTTATTTTCTTCCACACTGAAAACAGATTAACGAATAAAATCGTGAAAGCTTACTCAGTCTAAAGTTCGTTTTTTTGTTTTGTTTTGTTTTTAAATCATTATGCGATCGCATACTGTTTGTCCCTCTGCATTCACCGTAGCCCATCCAACAACTTCCGACAGGAAGTTACGATATGGGAGAATGACAGAAAAAAGCTTTTTCGGATGTAAAAATAGTTTGAAAATGAGTATAAAAACTCCCAGTTGCGTTGTAGTTTTTAAATTGCTTCGAATACGAGTTCTCTTTTTTGCAATAGAAATTAAATGTCCTCATCAGGTCATCAATGAGAGATTTATTTTGAAAGTTCTACCCGGAAGTCTTGTGTTTGATCTCGGCTGGCCTACTTAACAGCAAAACAAGTAGGTGTTTACTGAAGTTGTGTTATAAAACAGTCACTGGGCACCGACATTTAAAAAACAAAACAAAACTGGACAATGGTCTCCGGCGGTGCAATTCAGATACCGAGCCGTCTCCCGTTGCTGCTGACCCACGAAGGAGTTCTTCTCCCGGGCTCCACGGTCAGGTTCAGCGTGGACTCCCCACGGAACATGCACCTTGTCCGAGAGCGGCTGCTGAAGGGGACTTCGCTGAAAAGCACCATCATAGGGGTGATTCCTAACACCAGAGACCCGGAGCACGACACCGACGACCTCCCCACGTTGCACAAGTAATGAACTTGTAGCTGTGTAGCTTTCTGTGGGTTTACACGGTTGTTGTGTGGAGGTGTGACATACAGCTGATGGGTCCCCTTCAAGTTGTCATAAACGTAACAGGTCACAACATCTCTGCAGGATAAGGAAGAAGATCAAATATATTTCCAGTACACAGGAGTATTTTATGTGTTTAGACGTCTGTAGTGTGTGTCATCGTCAGGGGAAATGTACTGAATATTGGGTAAATCGAAACTCAATGCATATTTGAGCATGTACTTTACCTACCCCCCTTTTTTAAACTATTATTTGTTCTAGAAACATCTCCACTTTTACTGTAGCCATGAAGTCGGAAACGGCCGGGCAAGCACAGAGAAGCGGACTTTAGCCTTTAATCAGTGGACTCCAGATCAGTAGGTTACCAAACAGCGTGTTCCTGTCTCTAGATTCGTTACCAGGAAAAAGATGGTTTGTCCGACACTGAGTTAATCTGTGAGGAAGGTGGTCATGCTATCTTAAATCATAAAAATTGTAGAACATTTTCTCAGATTTCCCTAAAAAAAATGTACGATTTCAATTTTGATTGAATGATTGAATGAATGATTTAAGGCTTTTTTAAATATATATGGCTAGTTTAAATGTGAAAAATAAATCAAGCAATTGTATAAAGTTCCATATTTAAAGATGCACTAAAAAAATATGTGACACTGCAAAATGAAACCTGTAGAAGAAATACTTGAAATACTAGAAGATATCAGTGGGTAAGTTAATCCAAATGAAACACAATTCTGCCATTTCCAGGTGAGGCTCTGATTATAACTGAGGTAATAATTATAACTGAATTAAAGGCTTTTATCTTTAATATTTTCTGAGATATATTCATGCTGTAATGCACCCTCATTATTTCAAAGTGCAAAAAAACCCAGACCATTTTTCAAGAAAATGTATCTTGAAAACTACTAATATCTTAACAACAACAAAAATCACAAAAATCATTTGTTTGTTTTTTTTCAAAAATTAAGAGCTTTTTTTTTTTAGGAAAATCTGAGATAGTTGAGCAGAAAGACCACATTGATTTGAGATGGAATGAATAAATCCTTATAATCCTCTGCAGTGAAGGACAGGAAATACTTGCACTTGCTCATGTAAATGTTTGGCGCTTATACTTAAAATATAACAGGGTTTGAATGAAACTCAGATGGTTGATTTTCCACACACTACAGCACACTTGCTGCTTATATGAAGCTTAAAAGACACTGTGAAAGGCTCCAACACGATCAGAGGTGTGAATACTGAGGCTTTGCAAGCATTTAAAATCAGAACAGTTTGTTGTACTGCAGAATGCAACCTTTCAGTGAACTGCTTTTCAATGGCCACCTCATCTGTCACACACTCTCTTTCTCTCTCTGTGTGTGTCTGTGTAGAATTGGTACAGCAGGGATTGCAGTGCAGGTAGTGGGCAGTAACTGGCCCAAACCTCACTATACCCTCCTCATCACTGGACTGTGCCGATTCAGTGTATCGAGTCTGTTAAAAGAGCGACCCTTTGTCCTGGCAGAGGTAAGCTGTCGGTTTGATTTGATGTTAAAATATTGGAGCAATTTTTTTTTTTTTGTAAGATAAACCTAAGTTTCTGGATGTGCTGTCTATTTAATGAGCGACAGTGGTCATCATAAGTGTTCTGTTTTGTACCTGTAACGAAGCAGTAGTATCACTACATACTGATGATGTACTCTGATTTAGTCAATGTAAGAAGTATTCTTTCCTGCAACACTGTATTTACTAGTTGCCTGAGGGTAGATAATAAGAAATGTTTTGCTATTTCCTGTTGTTGTACAGCAATATTCTTTGTAAACACACTGTTAATGTTTTTTATGCTTATAGTAAACATGACAAAAGTTTCAGGTAATGGGGTTCCCATACTGTACAAGTGATCCCTGTGAGCCAAAAGCTCAGATTCCTGCACAGACTGCTGCAAACATTTTGCTTCTGATTTGGTTTTCTACTCTCAGCTTTACATCATGCCAATAATAGATGGCTTGGTCCTTAATATGCTAATCTCAGGCACATAGCTCTAGCTGGCAGCACAGAAGCCCCACTCATCTGCTGCTCAAGCCTTCTTTTTCCAAGGTCCAGCGCATCAGAAGAAATCTGACTAAAAAAGGGGGAAAATAGATTTAAATTGGTTTGATTCAAGCAGTAAAGTGGAGGACTGCACCAAGGTCAAGTGTAATATTGAATTTTCTGAACTGTAAATCATGCAAACCCACAAGTAATAGAAGTAGCATTAGTGAGAAAAAGGAGCAATAGCTGAACATTATAAATCCCCTAAAAAAACCCAACAAAAAATCAGTCTGAGAAGTTAAAGGTCACCTGATTCCACTACTTGCCAAGTCCAGCAAGAGGTTCAACAGAAGTTATAAGCTGCAGAAATAAAGTTTGTTGGCAAGTCAGCCAGACATGCCTAAGGCTGAGATTATAACTCCTTGTGCACATGGGAAGCTACAGACACACAGTTGTTCCTATTCAACAACTTTCAAGTCAGCTTAGGATGCCTGATGCATTTCATACGTGCTCCGTAGATCTACATCTATAGAAAGATGGATTCCTTATTCGGAAAGTCTTGGCAGTTTCCCTCCATGAATTACTACACGTTTGATTTTCTGTAAATCATTTAAAAGTCAAATTGTGCAGATGTGGGTGGACACTGATCGTTGTGTAGTATCTCTTTCAGGGGCCGTTTTGGGGTTTCCAGCACATGTGCAGCTGGCCCATTCAGAGTAGGAGTGCTCACTTTTCTAAAACCAACGCATCACTTGTACTGCGGCGTAATCACTGACCTCCACTGTCTAGTTATTAAGATGGGATTAAATTGAGTGATAGTGAGAATACATTTTTATTACCCGGTGTGAATTAAAAGTTCTTTTATCAGCATTTAAACAAGATCATCTAGTGTATGACTTTTATAACACCATTTCATCATTAAATAAAGTAATGAAACATGTTTTAGCATATTAGAAATGCACAATACACAAGTATGTGTGGCCTCACAATGTGACTCACTTTTTATTTAAAAAAAAAAAAAAATGACAGGTGAAGCAGTTAGATCAGTTGGAGCGGTATACGACCCCACAAAGAGATGCCACCGCAACAGATGATGGAGAGCTGGGGGAGCTGTCGGAGAAGTTCTATCAGGCTGCTGTACAGGTGTGTGTGTGTGTGTGTTTAAGAATTTAAGAGAGTGAGGTCGTAAAAAAATTCATGTCTTGAAAAACTGATTAAGTTAAAAACAAAAATGCCTTTGTAAGGAGGAAAAAAATGCCAAAAGGGCGGTGCAGACTTGAAGAGCGATGACTGACGGACATGTGAGGGTTCTTTAATATACACTAAAGTGTTACATACACACAAGAGCTGTTGCCTACAAAGAGACTTGCATTCAGCAAATTACTTTATATGTGGACTAAAACATTTCTTGATTTTTCACAGCCTGCAAAATCTATGATGTGTTTGTATATTCAAAAATATATATAATTTAGGCAAAAAAATTAGACACAACAACTGAAACGACTTTAACATGTGTTGTCTTGAAGAAATATTAACTGAAGTTGGATTGGGGCCAGGCTGTATTTTAATGAAATACCACTTTGCATTAAAATACTCTAAACTGTGAACATTCGTGTTTAGATTTGTGGAAAATTGAGGTATAGTTAAAAAGAATCATCAGAATTGAAAAAGCAGTGGAAAACATTTTTAAAACACCTACTGGTAAAATGCTGCCCCCTGCTGGCGAAGGTTTTGTTAAATTTAGCAGAATGTGCTTTTTGTTTTGTTTTTTTTACAAAACTTACTTTTGAGGGGAAAAACAGGGAATGCCACATCTTCAGTAAATTTATATTGTTATTTGAAAATAGTCCCTTAAATTATAATGCACGTTTTAAAAAGTTTTATTTAGATTATGAAATGGCTAAATAAACACTAATTGTTGATACCCAGTCAACTATTCGATTTTTAAAAATTTATTTATTTATTTATTTTCATCTGTAAGTCACCGCTGGCAGATGATTTTGTAGAACAGCTCATGTCATTCTGAATTATTTTTTAGGCTGCTGTGCACGCACGGCGTGTGCTGTCTCCACAGCTTGTCAGTTATTTTCTGGTTAGAATCTTTTCTCTGCTTTGGCTGCCAAACAGCCTAATATAGTTCTACTGTCATATTTAAATATTTGCTAGTTGTTGTTTTGTTTTTTTTTTCACCACAAACTACTTTTTTTCCTCTCAAGTATTAACTTTGGCCATACAGCTCAGTTTAAGTGTCATCTATCCACAACAATAACTCATAAAGCAGCTGTTTCATCTAGATGTTGCTTTGAATATATCAGGTCTGAGGTCGGAAGTTGAGTTTCCTCCTGACTTCCTTTCCACCTAAACCCTGTTTGCACATCAAAGCAGCAGAGTGGGATGTACAAATCTATGTACAAATTAAGTTTGTGCGTGTCATTTTACAATGAAGCGATCTGCAGATTGCAGCTGCCACTGTATGCCCTTTACTTATAAAAACTTCATCTCAATGTTTGCATTGGCAGTTTATGTAAGAGCTTGTTGTCAATTATTTTCAAAACTTACTAAACTGTGAAATATGAACATTTTTGAGAATAATAAGAAACAGGCAACTTTTTAAAAATGTAATATAGGAGTAAACTGTGCTGTGCTGCAGCATGATGTGATGGATCAGACTGAAGATGAAAACATACACATGCAGTTGGACTTGATTTATTGTGTTTTATGTTTATATATACACAAATACAAGTGTGTCTGTGTGTGTGTGTGTGTGTGTGTGTGTGTGTGTGTGTGTGTGTGTGTGTGTGTGTGTGTGTGTAGTTGTTAGGTATGTTAGACATGTCTGTTCCAGTCGTGGCCAAGTTCAGGCGCCTCTTGGACAGTCTGCCGAGGGAAACTCTACCTGACGTTGTTGCCTCGATGATCCGCACCTCAAACAAGGAGAAACTCCAGGTGAATTCAAACTGTATACACAATCAAAGCTTTAGAAGAGCCAACATGTTTTTATTCATTTTTTAGAAATCAAAAAGGTTTTAATCTTGATGCAAACAGTTTCTGCAAGTGTTCTAACTTCAGTTGCTCTGCTTTTGCCAAATACCCATTTTAGCCCAAACTACTTGTGGCCCCTCCTGCAGTAAATCCTAGGTTTACTGCAGGAAGGGCATCCTACATCCTGAAATATGGTGATCCTTTTGATATGGCAACTACTTGGCACGTAAAAGGGAAGCGGACTCTTCTTCTTCCTCCTCCCCTTCTTCTTTCCTTCTAGTCTTCTTCTTCTTCTTCTTCTTACTCCTCCTCCTACTTCTTCCTACTGTTCCACTTTTTACATTTTCTTACTTTTCTTTTTCTTCCTCTACCTTTCTTTCCTCTTCTTCCTTCTGTTCTACGTCCTTGATATCCACAATATTTGACAGTATACTTAGAGGAGAAAGAGAGAGGTCACTATTTGTTGGGGCTTTGAAGCAATACAGGAACTTTCCACTTATTCTGGCATTTAAGGATTTAGTGCTTTATTTTTTAGCATGAAAGCACACATTGATGTGATTTTTGACTTTTTTTTCCCTCAACAATAAATCTTCACAATAAATAAAATGTGTTGTTTTCCATGTGCTGTGAAGGTCCTGGATGCATTGAGTTTGGAAGAGCGCTTTAAGAAGGCCCTGCCCATGCTGACCAGACAGATGGAGGGACTAAAACTGCTGCAGAAAACCAGGAAGACGAGTCCTGATAATGAGAAGAGGGTAACAGATGTGCAGTCCTTGTATGTTCACACTGTGATTTACATTCCAAATCTCGTGCTCACATTTGGGATTCCCCTCTGTTTAGGTGTTGGTGCGGAAAGGTACAGTGTTCCCAGGTCGACAGTTCAATCTGGATGAGGAGGATGAAGATGATGATGGTGATGACACAGCAGCCTTGGAGAGGAAGGTTCATGGGGCGAACATGCCTGAAGCTGCCCTCAAAATTTGCCTGAAAGAACTCAAAAGGTAAATTTCATACAACATATACACAATATAAAGTGTATTTGTGCATACTTCACAAACACAAATAATGCTGCTGCTTTTACTTGTTTAGACCATGTTTAGATCTGGCTCTGTTTGGTGTCTGTGTAAACATGATCCAGTACTGTAATTAGCCTTAAATACTTCAGTTAGATTGTTCATGTTCCTCTTCAATCTGTCAGATTGAAGAAGATGCCTCAGTCAATGCCTGAGTATGCCCTGACCAGAAACTACTTGGACCTGATGGTGGAGTTGCCATGGAGCAAAAGCACCAAAGGTAAATTAATCTGCAGACAACTTTTAATGGACGTCAGCTCAGTTAAACTCTTTGGGTTTGGTAGATTTCACTGAGCCGTAGTAGTGACAGGAAAAACTGTACAGACTTTGACATTGAGAAGGCTTTGATATGCAGCTGTCTGCTTTCCAGGTCAAAGCATCTACTGCGTTGATTAAGGCTGTCATCTTTTTAATGCGTTGTTAAACAATAATCAAAATGAAATAAACATTCTCAGTCTCTTTGGGTTTTGATTCGCACTCTTTAAGCTACATTTTTAAGGTCAACATATCCTGGACGCCAATTATTTGAAAGCTTGGAGTTGTATTGGTAACTCATTGAAGTGTTATTGGCTATTCATAACCAGCCACTTTGCGCATACAGTTAGTTGGGTGGACTGAATCAGGCCAAATTAAATGGCGCTACACAGCGTCCCAGCATACATAATAATGCTTGAATTTCACAAGAACTGTTCTGGTTTGTCCCTGCTGATTGCAGGCGTAAACATGTAACCAAATATAAGTAATGACTCCAAATGTTAAGGGTAAGGGTTCATTTAGCAGCAGTGTCAGAGGTCACAACCAAAGTATGCGCTGCTCTCTGACATCTGATTGATGGACCTCTAAAATTTGCCAAACCACTGTGGGGCAAATTGTCTACCTGGTTTTTGATGTCTGTGTATGTTTCTTTGGTCTCACATTCAAATTGCTACTAGAGCAGGTCAGCTACTAACCGGAAGATTGGTGGTTCTATCCCAGGCTCCTCCAGTCTGCATGCCAAATATCCTTGGGCAAGATACTAACCCCATGTTGCTCTCCGATTCATCCATCGGAGTGTGAATGAATGTGTATGAATGTTAGATAGTGAGCACTTAACAGTTTAGAAAAAGTGCTTGTGTGATTGGGTGAATGAATTAGTTGTATGAAGCGGTTTGAGTGCTCAGAGTAGAAAAGTGCTATATAGTGCTATATAAGAGCCTGTCCATTTAACTCACCTAAAACACTTAAACCTTCTAGACTGCCTGGACATCCGAGCTGCACGTACCCTATTGGACAACGATCACTACGCCATGAACAAGCTGAAGAGACGCGTCTTGGAGTATTTAGCTGTCAGGCAGCTGAAGACATCACTCAAGGTGCTTCCTTAATATCCCAGTCTACGGATGCTTAAAGATGAAATCTTGTGTTACACAAAGCACTTTTCTTACATTTGTTATGTATTAATCTTTGAGTTTCATACTGCTGTATCTGCTGTTTTTTTTAGGGCCCCATCTTATGTTTTGTGGGCCCTCCTGGAGTCGGTAAGACGAGTGTAGGACGCTCGATTGCCCGAACTCTGGGCAGAGAATTTCACCGAATTGCTTTGGGAGGCGTCTGTGACCAGTCTGACATCCGAGGACACAGGTATGCTCATAAGATTGTTACGCAACTGAAGGTTTCGTGTCCACAGTGTAGACTGTGAGTTTTCAGGTTGCCCATGTATAGCAACAACCCCCAAAAAATACGAACTACAATAATAGACCTGAGATATGCTAGTTTTTTAACCGTTTTACCAGAGAAAACTGGTTTAACAGACGAACAGCTGATTCTGTTCGTCTGGACACTGATTGTTATTGTGGCTGTTGACTAGTTAATTTAAACTTTTCCATGTGTCCCTGTTCAAAAACATCTGAATACAATTAGTAGGTCATTAGCAAGACTCTATAGAACTTGACTGCATGCTGAAGTGGCAACCCCCAACCCTATTCAAGTAATTTTAAGGAAATTTACCGGTAAATATTTGGAAACATGACAAAAGTGCTTTTATTGCGTCATGTTCATTCACTCATGAGCTGCTGTAACATAAATCAAATGGCTGAATTGCCACCTCAGCATGCAGTCAAGTTCTATACTCTTTTACCAATGAACTACTACTGTGTGTTGCAACAGGGACACATGGAAAGGTTTCAGGACACCGGCCCTTGAGGATTGGAGTTTGAGATCCGTGGTCTACTCACACCCACCCACACAAAGCGTGTTGCTTTCTTTGGAATAGAGTCTGCATTTTTATTTAAATCCCTGTTTCCCTGCAGCGTAATTTTTTAAAAGTAGGGTAAAGATACAAATTCCAGACTTAGGACACCAGCTGAATGTGCCAGTATTTTAATTCCTGAACTAAAATAATAATATATTACTGGATGATTCCACCAAGGAGCACCCCTGAAAACTAAGATAATGCAGGTAAATGCTCCCTTTGTCTTTCGCCGTCATATTCAAACTTTTGCACCAGTTGTTGACACTAATGTGTCCACTGACTGCACTGCAGGCTCACAGTGGCCCTACCAGTCACAAATGGATATTGCATCTTTGGAATTAGGAACTTTGTGAAGGTGTGCATGAGCGAAACTCTAAATAAGTGCAATATAAATAAATATAAAGCAATATGTAATTGTAAAATTTAACAGGTAGATCTTTGTTCTTTTTTCTTAGGCAGGATTCGTGCCAAACAGCCTTTCATTGTTCTTGTAACAGTGACAATAAAATCTATCCTATTCTATTCTATTACTGTAGTCTTGTTATGTAGAACTCTTTTAAAGTGGCTAGAGAAATGTGCTTGAGTATATTGTTTTCATGCTGGGACTTAAATTGCTCCATGGACGTGTGGTGGAGCAAAAACACAAGCTCGCGTAACATAAGGCATTACATTTGATGCTTTATAAACAGTGTTGGTCAAGTTACTTGAAAAAAGTAATCAGTAACTAATTACCAATTACTCCCCCAAAAAAGTAATCCCTTTACTTTACTGATTACTTATTTTCAAAAGTAATTAATTACTTAGTTACTTAGTTACTTTTTAAAAACACGATTTACAACCTGAATAGGTGATAAAGCGATAGATCTTTCAGCCCAATTCTACTTTTTCTACAATCCATTATACAAAATGTAATCAAATGGAAAAGTGTATTTTTTTAACTTGTTTTATTAGTTTTAATCTTTTAAATTTATGCATCAAGCAAAAATTAAATTATATGCAACATTCTCTGACTGGAAGAAATTTGTTTAACATTTAAACCTATTTTCTGCACATTCCAGCACATAAAATATATATTTTTTGTGTGTTTACACTCAGTCTTTCACATAGATGCAAGTAAAACACACAAAATAAATAACATCAAAGACTAACCGGCCCGTTGCCCCAATTTCAACCGGAAAACAAGAAGAAGGTAGGCGGAGGTGTGCTCTGGTGCAGGTGTGCCGCAGCGGTCAGTGGAAGAATCCGCGAGTTTCTCTGTGAGTTTCCCATTACGTGGTACCACACTCGGTGCTTGCTCGGAAGTTTAGGGTTTTTTTTTCCGCTGTAAAAAGAAGTTTTCTTCCCACGCACAACGGACACTAATGTTTTTGTCACTTTTTATGGAATCAAACTCAAAGTAAGGTCAATACTTCCACGCTTTAAACGCTGCACGCTCATACTCTCTCCCACACTCTATATATGATCCACTGTTGATCTGCACACAGCTGTTGTCACGAACGTCGCACTCGCTTACGTCACTGTCGTGAGACACTCTCGCAAAAAAAATCACGGTTTTAGTAACGCAGTAACACAGCGTTCCTACGGGAAAGTAACGGTAATCTAATTACCGTTTTTGCAATAGTAATCCCTTACTTTACTCGTTACCTGAAAAAAGTAATCAGATTACAGTAACGCGTTACTGCCCATCTCTGTTTATAAATCACACTCACAAATAATGAAGCTCACTATGAAAAATCATGTATTTTATCCCAAGTTTTTCCTTAACACTCCCCACTGGGAAAGCTAGAGTAAAATAGTGTCTTTTTTATTTTATTAAGTCCAAAACCTGAACTAAGATGTAATGAAATTTCTTGGGAAAGCCTGCTGATATCATTCAAGCATCCCTTAAAGTCCACTTGGGTTTAATTTAAATGAAGGATAAAGGACATAAATGGATTCGGTCAGTAGTCTGAAAGTATTCGGCACATTTGTTGGTTTTGTTTTCTTCTGACTTGGACTTTTACTTTTATGTAGATGACCTTATGTAAATATAAGCTTTGTTTTTCTGTAAAATAAAGAGAGGTCACTGGTAATCTGTGTTTGTTAGAAAGTGTTAAAAGGTTGTCACCAACTGGAAGACAAATTGTGGCCAAGCACATACACCACATCACACAGATCCTCTTGTTACTGTTATGGGTGTCATGTCTGGAGTCTCTGTGCGAGCAGAGAGGCGAATGGGGCAAAAGAGTTCATCTCGGGTTACGTGGATGGTCGTGTTGTTTTAAATCAATGGCTCACATACATATTTACACCCAAATAAGAAACATGTGCATGTCCTACCAACAGCAGAAATAAGGACCAGACTCTTCAAACAATTGATTATACAGTTTGTTCAACTTAAAAATATTTCTGATGTTCTTATGTGATTTAAATCATTTTTATTTCCTACTTTCGAAGCCCACAAACTGCTTTCAACCAGTACATGCTAGCAAACACGTGAAGCTTGCTTGCATTAGCTTTATTCACTACAGAGAATGTCGCATCTGTGTTTATTTTTTCTCAGATATTATTGCTTGGTAATTCAGTGCATATCTCTAGGGTATATCGTGAGCCTTTGGTTTGCTTGAAACTGAAAAGTTCACAGAGTAGAGCATCATTTTGCGTCTTTGCCATGTCTCCAGGCGTACATATGTAGGGAGCATGCCCGGCCGCATTATCAATGGTTTGAAAACAGTGGGCGTCAATAATCCCGTCTTCCTTCTGGATGAGGTGGACAAGCTGGGGAAGAGCCTGCAAGGGGACCCTGCAGCTGCTCTGCTGGAGGTCAGTCTGTTTCTCTCTCAGGTTACGTGTGATGTAGTATCACGTCTTCTCTGGTTATTTACTCCCTAAACAAAACCTTAATGTTTTGAAGGATTAATTGTCAGTAGCGAGTAGAAACATGCAACATATCCACCAATTGGTTGCTATAGCTACCTAATTAACCACTACAACACATAATAATTTTCATAATAACACAAGTGTTATTAGTATTCCTGCCCCATGATGCCACAAAGTTCCCACTTACTGCAGTTTGCACAGTTTACAAAAAACACACACACACACAAAATAAAAGGGTTTCTGTGTGCACGCTAAGGTCCTGGACCCAGAGCAGAACCACGGCTTCACAGACCATTACCTGAATGTGGCCTTTGACCTCTCACAAGTGCTCTTCATCGCTACAGCAAACACTACAGCGACCATTCCCCCGGCCCTGCTTGACAGGATGGAGGTGCTGGAGGTACCAGGTGGGTTTAGTCACTTTGTTCTGACGAAATATCTCAGCAGATTTATCAGAGGTTATCATAACAAGAGGGTTTCTATTTTATTGAAAATACGTTCCCAGAACTCCACTATAGAAGTCCAAAAAGTTTCCAATTAAAAGAAAAAATATTTTCCTGTTAAATGGGCACCTGTGTTCCTCAAAGGACATGACATAATCCAAATCTGAAAGATACAAATTATGAGTCATTTTAAGACCAGAGTGAAATCTAGCATCTGATCTCCCTGTTTTGTTTTGTTGTTGTTGTTTTTCTTTATTACTGTTGTTTCAGGCTACACCCAGGAGGAGAAGGTGGAGATTGCTCACCGCCACCTGATTCCAAACCAGCTGGAGCAGCATGGGTTAACCCCTCAACAGCTGCATATACCTCAGAGCACCACACCGGACATAATCAGCAGGTACAATCTCACACAAACTCAGTCATCGTCACCTAAGACTGTAAGACTGCATAGCCGTTTAAGCTTTATGTTAACGGCAGCACACAGCGGCATCAGTGTCAGATACTGGTGGTGAAACACGTGTGAATTTTCAACAATGAAATTGTGAGAGAGAGGATTTGTTCAGTGACCGTTGATCTGTGAGAATGATTGTTATAGCTTCTTCATTTAAAAGAGACTCGACAGACATAATTTTATAAAAGTAAACTTACATGTAGAATACGTATCACAGGTTCTCAGCTGATCGTTATAGAATTTACACATCTTAAATGCAATCTTATTGTTCTTTTCAGCACTTAAAAGCAGTAAAATATTTTTCCATATCTGTGGAACGAGAGTTAAAGCAGACTTTTAGAATGTTGTGTACCTCAGAAATTCAAGAACTGATTTGTGTATGAGAAAGACAATATAGCCAGCTGACGGCTCACATACGAGGCTATACTTCTGATCTTTAGAGTGTTAAGTTGTCAAGTGATGTATTGAGTCTGTCACGTGGTGAGCTTTATTCTGTCTTTCTGAGATGCAGAGGCGGTCTGGTTAGTGTGCAAAAAATAGAAAATATATAGGTTGATCTGGGTAGATCTCTTTTGCAAACAAATAAGAAAAAAAAACACATTTCAAAAAGGAGAGAGACGGGTTCTCAGGTTTTCAGGTGATTACAGTTACAGGACAAAACAAAGAGCAAGTACATGACTGACACTCAGAGTGTTGCCTAGTTTTTAACCCTACCTGATCACACTGTGACTCTCAGTGACAGCTGTGTTTTAGTCATCTGTTATTTGTCCTTCTGTTTGTTCTTCCTCTTTTAGGTACACCCGAGAAGCAGGTGTGCGCTCACTAGAAAGGAAGATCGGGGCGATCTGCCGAGCTGTAGCTGTCAAGGTTGCCGAGGGTCACACACTTACCAAGACAGAAACTTTGACCCCTGAAAACTCAAAACAGCATGGAGGTGAGGGTCTGAACCTTCCATCTTGGTCAGGCTGTGGAATTTAATTTGAAGCTTTAGCTGCAGAACAGCACAGAGCTACACACTAACAAAGCTTGTGCATTAAATACCAAATGTTGAGTCATTACAAATATTGAAAGACGAGGTACAACAGAAAAGAGCATCTTAGTTAACACAGATTTATTTCAGTAATAATAGCAAAATGAAACACTCATCACTGGACTTATTTATTTTATAAATTGATTTATTTATTTACTTACTTATTATGACAAAAAGAGTTTGCTAATGCTTTTTTGACCAGAGTGTTTAGGCTTTGTTGCTTTAAGGGTTTTTCTTTTATGTATTTGAAGACCATACTGCCATGTAAAAAAAGAGTTTTTCATAGGTCCTGTAAAATGAAGTTCACCCTGTGATTCAGTAGCTTTTAGAACCTCCTTTAGGAGCAGTACCTTAAAGTAATTATTTCCTGTATGACTTCATCAGTCTCTCATATTGTGGTGGAATTTGCTCGAGAGCTTGGGGTCATTGTCCTGTTGCATCATTTGAGCCCAGTTTTAGCTGTTGGACAGATGGTCTCACTTTTGACTCTAAACAAATTTGGTGTACTGAGGAGTTCATAGTCCACTCAATGCTCAGGTGCTCAGGTTCTGTGGTAGCAGAACAAACCCAAATTGTCACTCGTCCAATTCTGTGCTTGACAGCTGGTATGAGGTGTTTGTGCAGATATGCTGCAGTTTTTTTCCAAAAACAAGCCATACTTGTTCAGCCTTTTTCTAATTGTACTGCCATGAAGTCTAACATTTAGCATTCTGGGGCATGTATTATTGTAGGGTGTTAATCCTGTGTTCCATGTCGCTCCCCGACCGGTCGCGGCAGATGGCCGCCCCTCCCTGAGCCTGGTTCTGCCGGAGCTTTCCTCTTGTTAAAGGGGAGTTTTTCCTTCCCCCTGTCGCCAAAGTGCTTGCTCATAGGGGGTATTATGGTTGTTGGGTTTTCCTCTGTTAAATACAACAAACCAGCCTATAACTAAAAAAGAAACAAGGACTAGTGTTTTAGCAGCTCTCTGAGATTTTGTGCAGGTGAAAGAAGGCACTTCAGAATGGAATATTTCAGGCTTTTACCTCAAATTTTTGACTCAACTCAAATTTCAAGTTATTTTCTACATTTTGCATTTCTCAAAGTTTTGAGTTAGGTACCTTAAAATGTTGACTTACTATCTTGACATTTTAAGATAATGACACCATATTCTGACACATGGATTGCAAAACATGTTTTTTTTTTTCATTGGGGGAAACAAGCTTCCAAAGTCTTATTGAACTGCAAGATCCCTTTTTGCTTGAGTCATAATGTAAAGTAAATGTTTTTTTACTGTAATCCAGAATCGAATGTAATTTTTTTCTCATCCAATCAGGTTAGTTTTATTTATATTGGGCCAAATTACAACAACATATGTAACAGGCCTCATATGTAATGAACAGCAACATATTTTACTTTGTATCATAGTATTGTAGACTGTAAAACTAACTGATATTATTTGGACATCTCGAAAAGTCGATTGAGCTTGTTCAGAATAAATTTCATGTCAACCTGTGACTTAGTTTGGCGACACAGATGACGCGAGTAACTGACACAGATCTTATCTGTGTGGTTAAACAAAGAACTACAGACATAGTAACAAAGACTGACTGCACGTGAGCAACAACTGGCTAATACGTTAGGAGAAATATCTCCCACAATATAGTTCGGGTAACAGCCGTTAATAATGTTGAGTTAAAACACTTGTGCTTCTGTTCTTTGTTGCAGAGTGCGAGTGTTGGGCACAAGGGGCTGAAATGAGCCTGGGAAAAATAAACTTTGAGTAAATCTTGACCAGAGCAGTTTGATGGATGTTAGTTCATAATGTGATGTTATAACAGACAGATGTTTGACGTGGTGACAAATTACTTATTGGTTGTTTATTTGTCTAATGATCATTTGTAAATCAAATTTTACATCAGGTGTTAGATATCTGAAGCATGCTCGCAAGTACAACATTATGATTTTTATGCTAATATCCTAAATAAACCTCATTGTGCAGTGTCCTACTCAAAAGCACTGGATATTACACAGCAGTACTCAGTTTTTGATTTGTCTGCGGGATTCTCAGTAGAGTAAATAAAAACAAAGCACTACAAAACTCATTTTTGGATCATTAAGTAGCAGACATGAAGACCGGAAATTTTGTTTTAGGTAGAGTGGTTTAAGACAGAGAAAGACAGAAAAATGGGATAAACGTGACATAAGTGTTTCTTTCTGTTCTTTAATGCGGCCTTTGTGTTTCCAGGTAACCACACGTGTGTGTGTGTGTGCGTGTGCGTGTGCGTGTGTGTGTGTGTGTGTGTGTGTGTGCGTGCGCGCAATTGATACATGTTCTCATGCATTTCTATTTGTATTTTCTAAATGGTAGCGGTTTTTGATGTTCATCTGTGATATTTGTGTTTCTGTTTGACTTTTACGTGTGTGCATGTTTGCGTCCTGTTGGTGCGATTTATGTATGTGTGTTCACAGCTGGTTTTTCGTTCTCATTCGCAGCTATGTCACTGCCATTTTTTTCCCTTTCCCTGTGAAGCCTGGTGTATGTAGTTGTTTTTTTTAACTAAACAATCTCTAAGATCTGATGATTGCAGTGTGTTTACGTTCACTTGAAATAGTAAGAATATTCCTAACACCTAACTGCACGAACATGGGTATAAACAACACATATTGTTTCTTTGACATGTAGCTTTCTGAACCACAGGCTACAAAAAAAATATGGATGTAGCCAATGTGATGTTATCCACAAATTTGTGAAACCCTTTTCTGAATCCTGAATGTTGCAGGTGTTACCATGTTTGTTGGTTTTTTGTTGTTTCTAGACAGGAACTGAATGCAGTTATTCACACGGCAGTCCTTGATTTAGCTTTCAGTGAATGTTTTGCTGTAATGTTTGTTTTCAGACAAGGCAGCACCTCCAGAGTTGCCCATAGTGATTGATCATATCGCACTGAAAGACATCCTGGGGCCTCCAGTGTTTGAAATGGAGGTAAGCAGAGAGAGAAAGAGCAGCATGTGCAGCGTTCATAATCCACAAGTTTATTACAGAAACATGCAGAATTTATTCTCATGAACATTTTTGACCGCCTGAATTTTCTGGACCTCAACCGATGCGATTGGTTTCCATCACAATCCATGACTCTATAAAGGCAGCCTGTGAGCAGATCTCTCAGCTCCATACAGCTGCTGCTCATCCTGTCAGATTAAAGTCATTTGCCTTTCTCCCTTCATCTCTCCAGGTCATGTGGAACTTGTTTTCTATGTACTTTTATGAGGATTGAAAAAGATGTTTTCACGTGTGCATATTGGCAGGTCTCTGAGCGGCTCACCCTGCCTGGTGTAGCTCTCGGCCTGGCCTGGACGCCGCTTGGTGGGGAGATCATGTTTGTGGAGGCCAGTCGGATGGAGGGAGAAGGTCAGCTCACTCTCACGGGTCAGCTGGGAGACGTTATGAAAGAATCTGCCCACTTGGCCATCAGCTGGCTCAGAGCGAATGCTAAAACCTACCAGCTCACAAACAGTGAGTCCAGATACACCAGTGTTTATATTCTATTTTGTAGTTTTAGAGAAATACAAAACAACTTATGTTGTGCAACTGTGTGTGTGTGTTTAAACAGTGGTGGGGGGTTCAGATCCTTTAGAGGGGACAGACATCCACCTCCACTTCCCCGCTGGAGCCGTCACCAAAGATGGCCCCTCTGCTGGTGTTACAATCGTCACCTGCCTGGCTTCACTGTTTAGCGGCCGACTGGTCAGATCAGACGTCGCCATGACTGGAGAGATCACGTTAAGAGGGCTTGTGCTGCCAGTAAGTTATCGTAGTAAACACACAGAAAACGATCATCTCTAGTCCACTCTAGTTTTGACAGACAAGTGTGGCCCGTCCTCTGCAGGTGGGCGGGATTAAGGACAAGGTGCTGGCTGCACACAGGGCAGGAGTGAAGCGCGTCATCCTCCCGAAACGCAACGAGAAAGACCTGGAGGAGCTTCCAGCAAACGTCAGAGCCAACCTCGACTTTATCACAGCCACAAACCTGGACGAGGTGCTCAACGCCTCTTTCGATGGAGGGTTTCCGGGAGTAAGCAGCACGCGTGCACACCCTCAGCTCACCAGCAAACTGTAACACACTGCTCAAAACACATTAACAATGTAAGGCATCTGTGATCTTGGATAATTAAGCCGTTTTTTGATCCTTAGAAGAGCTGTAAAGTCTTTTTGCAGATGATTTATTCAGTATTACAAAGCTAACTTGAAGTTGAAGATGGAGCTGGGATACAGGAGAATTCAGTTTACAAAATCCCCAGCTCCTCTTTGCTAATAGCACTGTGCAGCCAGCTCAGAAATAACTGCTAAATATCATCATAGTGGGGCTTTGTTTTTCATTTCAACTGAAAAGCTGCTTATTTCTTTTACCTTGTATTAGTAGCCTGGCTATGTCTTCCGAAGCAGGGGGACTAGTGAGTGATACATGCCTTAAAGATTTATACAGGTTGAATTTGTGCGCTGAAAAAGCCCAAATGTGCATGAAGAGTGCTGCTAAGGGAAAGAAATTGATTGATGTTTGTTTATGTAAATTGTTCTCCTTAATCACATATTTTATTTCACTCTAGTTGGATTTTTATCAGTGGATCTTTCACATCCACAATAAAATTTTATTTAGCTGCACTGATGGTGATGAATATATTCTGTGATTAAAAACTGTAAAGATGTTTTGTTTTCATTTCCTCCACTAGGCTGATAAATTGAAAAATAAAATAAATTTTGATTTCTTTTATTTACTGTGACATTTACCGATTTAATTATTTAGCCTACGTTTTTCCTGCTCTTGGAACTTTTAGTTGGACAAAAACTAGAACTGTACAGTTGAATATGGATGCATCTTAAAAGTATAGCTTTTTTATGCTTTAGCCTCAAGGATTCAAGTGTGCAGTAGAATATTCAGATGATTAGCTGACTAATATCTTTAATTTGATAGCTCACTGAGATGACTTCTGATTCTGATGTTGTTTTTTTAGTGAGTTATGGTTAAATCATAGAGGGACATGATTCCATAAATACGTGTTTTACTGAAAAGCATAAAATGGAAAACACTAATGTCCAGTTATTTGTTCGACTTTTAAGCAGTCTGAAAATATCACACATATGCATCCAAAGTCCATTAGTGACACCATAGAAGACAGTTTCTTCCATGCAACCTCGTATTTTGGTCATACACAGTAATACTGTGTAACAGCTTGAATAGTTGCATGTTTAAAAGTGCTCATTCATTGTAATAAACGTTTCTGCCTCTGAGGGGTGCTATAGAGTCTTCATGAGGCTGCACTTTTCTTCAGTCTTGTTGAGTTTTGTTTTGTCACATTCCGCCTGCCTAGTTACTGGTCTAGGGGAATAGGTTTCCATGCGAATCTTTAGTAAACTCAACTAATCTAAGTTCATTATAAATTTCTGCTCATTTGCTTTATAGGAGCTATAATCTTGTACAGCAAGAGATGAGCTTGCTGGCAGCCTGGTGAGATACAAAAACTAGAGATGAAGAATAATATTTAAGGATGCCGTGGCCTTCAAGAGTAATCACGAGGGGAAACGTTTTTTTTTTTTTTAATGTCTTTCCATTCTCTTCTTTTTTTAAATTATAATGCAAACAAAAAATACTCAGTCCACAGTTTTATAGCTTGTCTGACAGTGAGACACGCCCACATATTTGCTGGTGGTAGGAGCCTCTTGCATCACTTTTTGGAGGTACAGATGCCTTTTTGTCAGCTGCTTTGTTTCAGTTGTCGGCTGAGATGTGGAAACCTTCGAATTAACTCATCTGTACCAAAAAGGAACAGAAGCAAGAACAGTAAGAAAAAGTGCAGTACAAAGAGTAAATACATGCCTCATACATGTGATGGCAATAACGCAGCATGCACATTATATGCTAGTGTTCTTGCAAGACACCTCGAGCAGGAGGAACTCCTTTGAGCACAGATTTGTTAGAACAATTTGAAATATTTTGCAAAAACATTTCTTTATGACTATAAGAAGGTTTACTGAAAAAACTTGACAGCCATCATATTTAAATATCACACAAAACAAAACAGTGCAAAGTCTGACTTATTCACTGAAGTTATAAGTTGACTGTACTGCGGGCTACATGTTTGAGTACACATTAGCCAAATATTACACGCTGCACGGTGCAGTATCAAAGAGACTACTGGAGTCAGTGTGCCTTGCCACAAAACAGTTCCACAACCCTTTTTTTTTCTTCAATTATTTAAACAAAAGTGTTTGGTGAGTTGTAGATGTTCTAGGTGAATCTCTCAAATTTTGGAAAAACCTGAAGCTCTCTGCACAACAGAGCACCATCAAAATACACTCCAACCAGTTTGTGCTCACCAGTTCCTCCAAACACATTTGATGCAATAGCTCTTACAGAGAGTACTTGTCCACCTAGAGGATGCATCATTGTGCCAATACGCTGCTGAATTAAAGCATTTTTCTGGTCAGCTGCACATTCCCTTTGTGCTTGCTGGGGTTTAGCAGTCCGTGTGGGTGTGGAGCACTTCAACTTCTTTAAAACAAATTATATTTGAATAATGAAGGTATTAGTGTTTTGTGTAAAGATGCATTGTTGTCAGCTTTTCCAGACCTGGGACGTCCAGCTTTTATAAATCACCCCTGAAACTCAAGTACATCTTTCCAAAAGATCTTCTGCCACTTTTCCCTACCATTAGTCCCATTGCTACTTCAGCCACAATGATGCACTGTTTTAAGGAATAGCAATATTAATAGCAATCTCACGGCAGGCACTCAACTGAAGTTCTACAATGTTTGTATACAAGAAACTATCGGGATGGGATATTTGATTCAGTGTAAAGTCTGGAATACTTATAATGGTGTTGATACGCCTCTCGTGAAACTGACGACTGGAGTTGGTTCAAAATGCACATCACCGAAATATTTAGAAAAAGCAGATTTGGGCATAGACTTGTTGCTTCTTGCTTATGAGGACAAGACTCAGACATGAATGGTCAATAGCTCTTGAAAATTAACCTCAGCCCAAATGTTCAGCCGTTCTTTCAGACAACCTGACAAAAGACAAGAGAAACTACAGGGGAGCTTTCACTTTATTTTAGATAAATACAGGAAATCATCCTTCTTGCACTGTAGAGCTGTAAAGGAGGAGACATTTGTGAGGAACAGATTTTAACAACATGAAATGCCATGTTGTAATAGCTAAAAACTAATGACCCACCTCTGCCCTGTGAGTTTGGGTCATCTCTTCCATCCATGCCAGTCTGAAGCTGACCGATGGAAATTTGGCCAAGGGTCAGAAGATGGATGCTTTACATGACCCCAATGAGATCCACGGTAATGCCACCAGTAGTTATTCCACGTAGGATTCATCTGGAAGTTGTAGTATCCACTGTAAGGGTCGGCATATCTTTGAGGATGACGTGGCCTTGATGGGTGT